TCTGGTGAGAACGACAAACGAATCTCTTCATCATGTACTTTCATTCGAAATGAAGTTCCCCCTAACTATGATAATCTCCACAACAATGTTATATGGAAATATTCTTCGAAACCCGCGTTTTCTTCGAATATAATGTGTAGTTGCGAGGAAATTCCACCATCAGTCCTTCATCAGTCTATGCGACCTAGGGCTGATAACGCCTTCAAACAAGACGGAATGGCAATCTTTAAAACCTAATTATTACCAAAGAAATATTGTACAAGTGTGTTGACCTCGTTGTCGCAACTTTGTCTTGTTGTCAGGGTGACTATGTAGAACGCACCTTGTCCAAAGTCGTCTGCAATAATAGTTGTCATGATTCCCAGCATCAGACAGTGCACTTGGTACATACTCAAACGTTTCGCCGGCCTCGTAGTCGGCATCATCAGTCGATTTCGCCATTCTCCCAACCAAGTTACGAAATCGTGAAAGAGACAAGTGAAGCCAATCCCTCGACAAACTTTCTGCCGAATAACGGTTACACTCTCACTCCTCTTCCTGTTATTGTCTATCTATCTACTCTTTACCCTTTTCTCCCACTGCCGCCACATCACAACTTCTCACTTGTTTACATTCCACTCGTCAAAGGTGTGGAAATTCCAGTGCGGCCCCAGCACACTTGCTATCTACCCCGACCGCTCTCTGTCTATCGACTAGGGTTGTTGTACGACGCTTGTCGAGGGATTGACTTTATTTGGCAAAACGGACTGATGATGCCGACTACGAAACGTCTGCGAATGTACCAAGTCCACTGTCCGATGCTGGGAATCATGACAACTAATATGGCAGACGACTTCGGACTAGGTGCCTTCTACTAAGTCGCCCTGACAACGAGACCAAGTTGCGAAAACGAGGTCAACCGAAAGGAGACTGTGACCATTTCAGAGGCCACAACATCTTGGTCTTCAAATATTCAAGAAAATAGGTAATATTGTCGATTATAATTTAAAAATAGAATTTCGGAAGGACCTAGACTTTCTCTAACTTCACCATCGTCTTGTGACCCAAGGGCGCCTGCGTTAGTGCGACGTGGTGGTCGAGGCATCGCAACTGTCCACCGCACCAGCACGATTCGGGTTCGAGTTTCTCTGGGGCTGCTGACGAGACCAATTCAAGCGAGGTCGAAACTGAATTCCAGTCAGGTCGGGATGAGAATAAGTGCATTTTGAGAAACAAGTCTATGCCAACTTTAAGCAAAGTGTATCGCCCATTCATCCGATTGTGGGCACTTTTTCCTCTCTCCCCCTCTTCGGCCTGGCCGTGTCTTCTCGTAGGCCCCAGGCCCGAGCCTCGCCGTCGGAGAAGGTCTCCTCGTTGTCCAATCAAAGCGCACCACTCACCTCCGGTTTCACTTTCTGTCTGTTCAAGACAAAGCAGAAAGCCTTCTTCTTCTTTTTTTTCTTCTTCTTCTTCTTCTTCGTAGAACTCTAAGCGTGGGATGGCTTAGCAAACCATTTAGCAAATGCTGTCGAAGCCGCCCACGACACTCCTTCTCCTCCTCCTCCTCCTCATGACCGGCTACCTTTTCGTTATCTTAACAACAGGTCGCTATCACACCGGACATGGTGGTTTGACAAGCAATGACCCGTTTCGCAGACATGCCTTAGACATGATGAAGACAAAAGACAGGACACCAGCAGAAAGTGGGAAAGGCTGAAAATCAGCGAGCCTATGGCACAATTGACCGAGCCTTGGTGCACACACACAATCTCATGCATGTATATATTT